TGCCGGCGGCAGCCGGGGTCTCCCTGCTCCCATCCCGGTCGCTTTTGCCCGGGTGTCCCTTGCCCCAGTCCTCAGTCGCGACTCCTCAACGAGCTCTTGTGCTTCTGGGAAAAGGGTTTCGGAGTAGGGCACGGGGTGCCAGGCTGTGCCGGGCCACCGCCACGGAGCCGCTTAAAGCCTCTCCTGGACGTGGGGGTTTGGCGAGAGTGGGGGGTTTCCAGGGCCGATCAGTCTTATTGTCCTGCCTGCAATGGACATGGCATGGGGACATGAGCTCTCTGGGTTTTTCAAGGCTAGGAGCAGCGCTGCCTGGCGTGGCGTGGCCAGGAACGAGGTGTGCAGATGTTGTTTCACACTCCTTATCGCTCCTCTCAGCGGGGCTCCAGCAAGCCCAAAGCCAGCCTCGCAAGGGGAGCTGGCCCATGGAGCGGAGGTGGCCGGGAATCCGGCCACACTACAGCTGGGCATCTTGTCCCAACACCTCGCTCGACTCTGGGCACCCTCTCTCCGTGCCCCGTCACCCACTGGGGCTGGCTGGGGGCTCTGTGCTGGGAAGGTGACTGGTATCGGAGACTTTTCCACCTGCTTTGTGTAATCCCCAGGGTGCTCGCTGCTGGGGGAAGGAGTGGGCAGGATTCAGCTCAGACAGGGGTCACCCAAGGAAAAGGTTGGCTAACCGTCTTCTGCTGCGGTTCAGATCAATCCGCTGCATCTGCACCAGTTCCCTTTTCCCCTCCTTCCCCCCCGGGAACAGGGCGAAGCGGATGTTGTTGCGGACATGCCACAGCTGTGCCCAGATGTGGGGCAAGGGAGGCTTTGAGAAACCTCCTCTTGCTCCACAGGAGTTGCGTGGATGTCCTGGGTCACATGCTTTGAACCCTGTGTGCAGCCATGCAGTGCTGGCCCTTTCCTTTAGAAACCTTCTCCTGGGGTGGCTCCTGATCTGGGCTGTGTCCGAGCGTGGTGCTCGGATGGCGTATGGAGCAGAGGGACCCGGGCCGGCACCGCTAAAGGAGCTGGGAGCTGGAGCTGTCACGAAAGCAGCATGCTCTCAGTTAACTCCAGAGCAGGAGAAGGAGGTGACTCCAGATGGGAGCAGGAAAGCCTGGTGGTCACGCAGGGAGTGTCCCGTGCGAGACTGGGGTCATAAATCACTGTTGGGGGAGCCGGGGCTGTCTGGGATCCGTTCCCACCCTGACACTGCTTGTCACCAGAGGGAGAACGAGTTGTTTCCCTCCTTCTGCGTCTTGGTTTCACCTTTCTCCTTTGGGAACAGCTTTGAGATCTGCTGATAAAGTGCTCGATAAGAGCTACGGAGGCTAAAATGTGTGTACGTCAAGGTCTAGTCCAAGGGTTGTTGAGAGCAGTGTTTAATTCCTGGTTGAGCTGGCATTCAGGCTGCCTGTGGTCGAGGTGAGGCTGTTTTCCAGCTGACCTGAACAAGAAGGAGCATTGATCCAGCATGCTCTCTCCTTTCCTTTCTAAATATAGCGGAAGAATGGCATCTAGCCTTACCCAGGTGCGGTTGGGTTACCGCCGCATGAGGAGCCGGGCAGTTGGCCGCAGCTCTGCTACAAGTCCGTCCCCTTTGTCTGGCTCATTGATGGGCTCCTTCCAGCTTCCCGGGAGGGTGCTCGGGATGGAGCCCCAGAGCCACGAGCCGGGGCAGCGGCGGGGGGGGCGCTCA